CTAATTCTGACAGCACTAATATATATATACTCTACCGGTCAAAAGTTTGGGATCAGAATAATTTTTAATGGTTTTTACAGGAGTTTCTTATGCTCATCCAGGCTGCATTTATTTGATCAAAAATACAGAAAACAATTTTATATTGTGAAATATTATTATGGTAATATAATATAATATAATAGTAAAATAACATTTTTCTATTTTAATATACATTCAAATCTAATTGATTCCTGTGATCAAAGCTGAATTTTCAGCATCATTACTCCAGTCTTCAGTGTCACATGATCTTCAGAAATCATTCTCATATGCTGATTTATTATCAGTGCTGGAAACTGTTGTGCTGCTTAATATTTTTTTGGAACCTGTGATACTTTTTTTCAGGATTCTTTGATGAATAAAAAGTTAAAAAGAAGAGCATTTATTTAAAATAGAAATCTTTTCTAACAATATACACTACAGTTCAAAAGTTTGGGGTCAGTAAATTTGTATTCTTTCTTTTTTTGAAAGAAATTAAAACTTTTATTCAGCAAGGATGTACTAAATTGTTAAGAAGTGATAGCAAAGATGTATTTTGTTAGAAAAGATTTATATTTTGAATAAATGCTGTTCTTTTTTACTTTTTATTCATCAAAGAATCCTGAAAAAAAAAAATATTTGGCAGCACAACTGTTGGTAATTCTAATAATAAATCAGCATATTAGAATGATTTCTGAAGGATCATGTGACACTTTATACTGGAGTAATGGCTGATGGAAATTCAGCTTTTTTCAAATAAATGCATCCTTGATGAGCATTAAAAAAACATTACAAGTCTTACTTATCCCAAACTTTTGACCGGTAGTGTATATATTATTTCAGCTTTCTTTCAATTACCAAAAATGTTTTGTTTTTAAATGGCTGATTAAACGTATTACGTACACTCTAGGAAAAGTCTCTAAAAACAGATCTGGGCTTATGCACCTAGGTTTTTGAGTGATCCTTGCCAAAATTATTAACAAATAATACTTTTTATCACTCAAAAACTGAGATGCATAAGCTCAGATGAATGCGGTCTACAATCAATCAGCTCCAAAAAGAAATACAAAACCTATGCTAATTGAAAGAAAACAAGTTGACAAAAAGATTGAATCGGTAATATTATAGCATAACAAGAGTTTTAAAAGGCCCTGTTTATTAGTACTTATAAAGCACATATTAATGCCTGATTCTGCATGACCATATTTTAGACCCCTTAATCCTTAAACCCCATACCTAATACCTTACTGACTATTAATAAGCAGCAATTTAGGAGTTTGTTGAGGCAAAAATCATAGTCAATAGTGAGAACTGGACCTTAAAATAAAGAGTGACCAAAATTGCTTCTAAATCTCTCATTATGTTATTTTATAATTGATCTGAGCTTATGCATCTCAGTTTTTGAGTGAAGATTGGCAAAATTATCCACAAATAATGTTTTTTGTTTTTTTTTCACTCATAAGCTCAGATCAATGATCAACCAGCTCCAAAAAGAAATACAAAACCTGTGCTAATTGAAAGAAAACAAGTTGACAAAAAGATTGAATCGTTAATATTATAGCATAACAAGAGTTTTAAAAGGCCGGTCATTTTTGACTGGGAACACCAAATTAGGTAAAGGATTTTCAGCACAGCACAAGGGTTCAAGAAATATCTAGTTCTAGGAATGATTAGTTCAGAGACTAAATATACTAAAACCAGAAATATCTAGTTCTAGGAATGATTAGTTCAGAGACTAAATATGTTTTGAACCCAGTGACTAGTGCTTCCTCACAAACACTGATTGTGGCAGCCTAGGAGCTTGTATAAGACATCAGATTGGGGGTTGACGACGCTGTCGATCTCAGATTAAATACCCAGAGTAAGTAAATGTTGTACCTGTTGTTGTGTCTGTGTGCGGCGTGGGCTCAGTGCTGTTGGTGATGTTAGTAGAGGACTGTGTCTGATCGCCGCCGGGGCTCGAGGTCATGTTGACATCAGTCACTCCGTTTCTTCTACGTGAGATGTGAGCCGCAGACGACACACAGAGATAATCACCTGAAGACAGGACAGAGATGACGTATGAATCAGAACTAGGGGAAATCTTGGCCTGTAACTTAAATTATTCAAAGTAATCTGCATATTGAAATGAAAATGGGTATTATCATGAATTAAAAATGAGAGAATGTCTCTGCCAAATCTGAATCTACAAGAGAGAATGTTTAAACCGAGCTCTGTTCTGTCTTTAGTTATGTGGTGAAACAGGAAAAGTGTTAATAATTAATTCAGTCATTTAATTAAGCAACACTGGCATGTGTTTGGGGAGGAACTATCTGTCTGACTAATAATAAATGTGTTGAGGAAACCTGTCAAGTGGAATTCAGGATTTGAGCAACCTTTAACTCAATTAATGAACTTTAAAGCATCGTTTGTGCTACAGATATGAATGATACTTCAAATTATATGACTTGAGAAAAAATTCCACTGACTTGCATTGAAGGAGGGGCCTGAGCAAAAAGTTTGGGGTCAGTAATCATTTTTTAATGTTTTTGAAAGAAGACTTTTATGCTCACCAGGAGTGAAAGCATTTGATGAAAAATACAGTAAAAACAGTAATATTGTGAAATTGGTTAGTTAGTTTTGACAATATTCACTCATCATGACAGTAAAATAGGGCATTCTACGTCAATATACTGCAGTATTTCCTCTCTCAATCAGTAGAAAATATGGTTAACACCCGGTCATGCATGAAAAAAAATAATACCGTCATGTACCGTGAAACCGGTATAATTTTGAAAAATACCGTGATATAAATTTTTGGTCATACCGCCCAGCACTAGTGGACATTATGCCTGAAAAGCTGCACAAATTAAACCTGGAACATTCCTTTAAAAACTAAACGCAATGTGACTTACAAGCAACGATCTGATGCATCTAAATAACTTTCCATAATAGCAACTTAAACTTCTTCGAAATAAAATTGGTGTACACTGAAAACAAAACTGATGGTGAAACCATTTTCATTCAGAAATTGCTCGTATATTTCACAAATAATAACAAAGAAACAAGTAACACATGCAATTAAATGTAAAAACACTCCAATAATCTTTGTTTTATTATTACAACTTCATAAAATAATTTTTTTACAGTGTTAAGATGATGATACATGGGGCAACTTTTTTGGGCAATGTTGCTTGGGCACTTTCCCATTGAGAATGGCCAACAAATTTCTCTCTGGATACTTTAGATCAGTCGTGGGCCCAGTGTCTCACCTGGTTGCCCGTTGATGGCAACATTGCTCAAAAAGTTGCACCGTGTATCATAATATTCACCCAGTCGTGTTTCTCACCTGCTCTCCTGTTTCTCACATCTACTCACAGGTTTTCTCACCTCTCATCTATCTGCAAATCTCATCTTTATGCAAAGCTTTTAGTTTGATATGAAATTGTGTCTGTGGTGCTCATAACTGCGGGTTCACTAAAAAAGATTTTATTGGAGTATGTTTTACAAGAAACTGCTATTTTAGTTCAAAATTTCATTTTTAGTCAAATGTCTCATTGCCGTTTATTTGAAATTTACCAGCAGTTTCTGAGTGAAAATTGTTTCGATGTAAATCCTACACCAATATTTTTTTTTTTTTCAGTGTAGAACATCTCCATGGAGGTGATGCTTCTGTTTCAAATGAATCCTTTTATATTATTGCAGTCATTCATATGTTAAATTATTTTTATTGTTTAAATAATTTAATGCATTAAATTATAGGGTTAACTATTGGAAATATATTAGAAGACAATAATTTACTTTAAAATAAAGTGCACTTATGAATTGTGAAAAAGGAATAAAAGTAAACGGGGCTTTTGTACAAGATGTAAAAATAGAAGAGTTGAAAAAGTTCCCAGATGAAAGTGAGAGGAACAGGACGTCAGCATGCAAAGATGACAAGCAACAGAAACGCTCTAAAAATACCCCACGATTGTTCAGCAGCGTGTCCTGAACAATCTCGTTCTCGCTCAGTACATCAGAGAACTTTACAGGCCGTTCTTAACTTTCCAAAACAGGCCTTCTAGAATACAATCTAATTTAAATATGGTAAAAATACACCGCTGCATGACTCCTAATTACAAACACTGGCTAAGAAATGAAAGCATTCTGGGATTGAGAGACAGTATGTGTGGTTTGACGGCATTCCCATAATGCTCTCTGTGCCAGTGCTGGGATAGAGAGATGAATGTCTTGAATGTCCACCCTCGTATGAACATAAACGTGTGTGAACACATACATGTTTGCTGATGTAAATAAACCAGAATTAAATATGAGTGAGTTTTCATAAAGCTGGTCTTTACAGTCAGAAGTACTGAACACAAAACTGAATACAAGTAAACTGCAAAATTTGAACTGATGTCATATAAAATGCAAACATAAGACTATTTTTCATAAAGTTCAATTAAAAACAAGCTTATGTTTGTGTTGATATGATTAGTTTTACAGTCCAGTATCCACTTTTAGGCTGTAGTTCGAGTTCAGCATGAGAACAGAGTCTTTTCACAGCAAGATACAAGGCTGTGTCTCAAAACATAGTGAGCTCCCTAACTAGAAAGCATTTTCGAGCACCCAAAGTACATTAAGCAGTTTTTGGGCATCCATAAAGTCACTCCTAAATGTAATTTCTGGGCATCACAGGTAGTCCATATGGTGCCTAGGTAGGCAGTTTGCTAGGTTTTGAAACACAACCATTGTTTGACTGCACGGATACGCGTGGCAGCAGAAACAAACTGAGAACAAACATAGTGTCTGAAAAATATTTCACAATGGCTATTACTGTAAGTAGATAGATAGATAGATTATTGTTTTTACCTGTAATGAAAGAACAGTAGAAGAGCACCATCGCACAAAACGCAATATTTCCACATCTGCCCATATCCTTCATATGACAAAAGATAAAAACTAACTTCAACCTAAAATAAAGCTAAAATAGTCGTTCTTGCTTTCTTTCTTTCCTCCCTCAGACGTAAAAACCGACACAAAAGTCCAGTGTGTGTAACAAATGCCTCTGGATCGACGGACGGAGATGAATTTAGATGCCAGTGTGTTTCTCACGGAGTGTCAGATGATCAGAAGTGTCTGGAAGAGTTCATTCACAGCGGATCCAAAGAGTTGAGATCCGCTGCGCGCTCTAGACTGACGCGGTGGGCGGGGCGCAGCGAAGGGCGCACACAACAGCTGGATGGGGATTAGCTCAAGCGGCAACCTTCCCGAACCCAACACGGAAGTGACTAAAACTGCAATTCATCTCCT